TTTATATCTTTTTTTTTTTGCAGACAGTACTTCCATGGACAAGTCCTCTTCCAAACTGACCCATGCTGATGAAGCTGAAGCTGATGAAGAACAGATATCAGTCATCCCTGACCACGAGGTCATTGATAAGGTTAAGGGTTACTGCAGTGCTCATTCAGATAACTTCTATAAAAATATTATCATGTCAGATACTTTCAGCCACAGCACAAAGTTTTAATGTCTTTAATATAAGAAAAAGGAATCAGAAATGTGAAGATCTCCAGGCAGTGAAAACTGCAACTAGCAGTTGTAAATATGTGATTCCCTTGGTAACTGCATATATTATGTGCAATGTATTTTTTTAAGGAGACTTTGTGAAGTTCAAAATCTGTCTTTTCAGTGCATTTCTTTCCTGTGGAGGTGCCCTTATCACTAGAATATCAGTGCTGAGAACAGTGGGACTTAGCAGCTGCAGGAGATACGATTTTTTAAATGAAGTTGAATCAAACCTGCCCACAACTCTGGAGAGGGCAGTGACATTAAAATTAGAGGACAAGACTAAGAGAACTAAGGATAAGTCATTCTTCAGGGGCTTCTTCATAGACTACTTAATAGTTAGCTTTGGACGTGGCCATGTGCTTCATCCTCTTTGTCAAAAGTCAGAGGCATCCTAATAACCATGTTGATGCCCACAGATCCCAGTATCAGTTTCTATGAAAGCAATACTATTTTCTGTTTTCTCCATGAAATATCAAATATGAATATGAAAAAAAGTGTAATGTCTGACCTAAAGATGATTATATTAAATGTTTAAATCTTCAAGAGCATCACATGCTGGAGAAATCAAAAAATTCCAAAATATTGTCCTATTTATATAAAGCCATATAAATGTCTGTTCTTTTGCTTGGTGGAGTCAAGACACAAGGCTTAATTAAGTATCGTCATTAATTTTAATTTAATCCCATACATTTGAATCAAGTTTAGTGCTGCATTCCTGTAATGTAGACCACCCAGGAGTTGAAGATGAATCTCTTACAATTCTACTTTTTTCTTCTGCCGTATATTGAACCCACAGGCTCATGGGAGGAGTGAGAATTTCCACTCGGCATGTGGTGTCTCTGCCTTGCCCTTCCGTAGACAGGCAGTTGGCAATCCCTGTAGGAAGTATAACCAGTGAGGTTCCATGGTCCTGTCTGTGCTCTAGAGACAGTGAGACATTTCTAGTTGCACAAATGAAACAACCTCTTTCTCTTTCAAGAGTTTTGTTCCAAGGGATATAAACTGAGACATGTGGCTAACTTACCATAATCATTTATAATTTATAAACACTGGGCCTACAAATGCTAGTCTGAAATTTATTTGTGTATAACTCCTCTGATTATAAGAACCAGAGGAAGTCTGGCAGGGTAGACGGTGTGTGATTCATGGACGAGGTTGCTGCATATACACTGTGCATAATATTAAGCAGCTTACCTAACTTTTAAACTATTCTGACTCATAAGTGGGAAGCTGCATTTTCATTGTTCTTAAATGCTGGTGTCATATTCAGATTCTTAGAAATCAATTTTAGTTTGTGTTTTACCTTTACATTTGCTCTGGATTATCTGGGGTGTATCTGGTGGGGGAAGTAGCAGGTAAGTGAATAGAACATGAGACTTGCTGGCAGAGCCTGTCTGCTTGAAGGTCAAGGTGGTCAAGGTCCATGCTGAGTGCCTGGGGCTTTTCTCCACCAGCCCCCACCCCATTCTCTCCTTCCCCCACACAACTGTGCAGAATAAAGGTATGAGACCTGGGAGGGCCTTCTGGTCTACACCAGCCAATGGGCTACTTGCCTTTTGCCATCTTCAACCATGAAGCTGTTTGCCAGACTGGAATTGGTGATTCAACACTGAATTTCCGTCCCATCTTACAGCTGCCCGAATGCAGTGGCTTTCCCAGAGTAGAGGCGTGGGTAGTAGGGAAGGAAATGAAATCTACAGTTCACTAAGATTCACTGATAGAGCCAAGACCTTTTCTGTAGGGCTTTACTAACAGGTTGCTTATTCTGGCAGCAGTTACATAGAGATGAACGTTAATTTTAAAGAGTCACTGAATTGTCATATACTTTACCCCCAAACCTTAGAGATTTATGATAGAATTTAATTAGCTTTCCACTGTGAGATTTCTGCCCATTGTGCTTGTTTAGTTAATAGTACTTAAGATACAAGTTGCAAAAAAGGCATTGATTTCTACTCATATTCATGCAGATGTGGGAAAACTTTTTTTTTTAAATATTTGATAACAATATCAGCTCCCCTTTAGACATTTTTGAGAACCCGTTAAGGAAAATGAAAAAATAGGGGAATAGAAACATTTGTGAATGGGTTTAGAAGTCTGAGCTGAATCCGCTCGAAGTTCTAAGCATGCAGATCTCACCTTCACTTAGCCCCTCAGCAGAGGGTGACAGGAACTTATCTGGGGAGCCAAAATTCAACTTAACCTAACTTCAAGGGTAATATCAATTCAGACTCTCTGGGTTCTTGCCCTCTTTTTGAACAACTTTGTGCTGTCCAGGCTCCTGCAGTATTTTCCAGGCCCGTCACCATCACATGCATTTAAAGCTTCTTTATCTATTGTGGCACAGACTCGCCTGTACATATTTATTTATTTGTGTTTATAAGTCTCAGCTTGTTTCTTAGCTTTGTGTCTCCCGACTTTGTTATTTTAATTAACTTTCTATCAAATAGGCTGTATATATTTTTTCTAAATACTTTGTGAAATACTTTTCTGCAGTGGTATCTTTGACTATGAGGAATAAAAGTGACTGTGAGTACTAGTCAGAATTAGCAAAAAGAAGCTACAATAGCTGATTTGCCATTTTACTTAAATGGAAAATTGTTTTTCAAATAAATACTTAAGTTGTCCGTGTTCCAAATTATTCAATTCCTTGTTGAGTGAATGTTTTTATTTCTGACTCTTAAATAGGAAAAGATTATTTGACATCTGGAAAATAACCTGCCACCAATTAAGCTAGTGACATGGGTCTACTTAGCCAAAAACACTAAGAACGAATATATTACTGAGGTCCGATTCTCTGGGGATGAATGCATTTCGATGTTCTTAGATTTTCTTAGGTTGACTGATGCTAAGCCAAGCTCTGTGGCAGATTAAAAGTAGTGCAGGTTCTTCTGGGGAAAGTCTTCAGCATCCCAGAAAGGAAACCAACTTAGAAACATCATGTAGAACTTGGGCCCTGGGATATTTTTCTCACACTGATGGTTGCTGTTTTCACTGTGGGTAGAAAATGACAGCATTTAGCCAACTTCACTGGTATGATCAGAACAGAACCTCCCCGCTTCCTTTGCTGTGGTGATTTAGGATAACTCTTCGGCGGAGGGAAGCCAAGGCCCAATTTGGCTGCCAGCGCTGCTCAGCGCAAAGTTGTGAGGCCTTTGGCGAGTCAGTGCTCAGTCGGGTCTCTGGAGCCAGGCTTTACAACTCCCATCCAAGCCTGTTAAGAAAACAGGCAGCTGCTGAGATTCATCTCTAGTCTCCTCTGAGCAGGTCGCTCCAGAAAGCTCGTGGGAAGAGCCTGGGAGGAGGTGGGAAACACTTACTTGATTCATAGATGGACCTGCGTTTGTATTATTTTGAAATCTGAAGGAAGCAGGCTTTATAAACAGTGTTTTGGAAACACTTCTGTTTTCAGTTGAATAGCCTTCGACTTCTCACAGAAAAGCATTCAATCTTTCTGTCTCCCTTCTTTCTCTCCCTCTTTCTTTCTCCTTTTCTTACTTCTTCCATTTCTCTTTCTCTCTACTTTATCCTTTCCTCCCACACATTCCATTTCTAGGAAAAATAATTATAGTAGCAATTTTCTTTTGCTTCCAGAAAAATATTCAAATGTTTGCATTTATATTCTATGGCCTGTCATAAAAAAGAAAAAAGTTAAAAATACTACATGTTTTATTACCACAGGCAGCTCCAAACTAAATTAAGTAATTTGGACCTGATACACATACAACCGAATCTGTAAACAACTGTGGGTGTCAGATGCTTCCTGTGTGTGCTCTCCCTTCTTATTTTCCCCACAGTTCTAGAAGAGGGTATTTATTAAATCTGCCATTTGGAGAAACTGGGGATTAAGGATAGTAAGTAACCCAGCAGTGGCCACAGAAAGAGGAAGGGCATGGTTCAAGCCTACGCCTGTCAGACTTTGTCTTCACTGGTCAGCCTCAGAGCACCTGGAAGAAAGACCCAAGGACAAATCCATGTCATGAGTGTCGGTAGAAGATCTAGACAAGCCGAGCTTAGTGTGAATTTGGTTTTGAAGATATGGGAAATTCTGGCAGACCTCCCCTGAGTGAGGAAACTCATTCCAGGCATGGAGATGGGTGAGTGGGGAATAGTTGAGGTTGGATCTGTGGAGGTGTTTGTAAATGAAAGAGTCGCAACACAAGCACCCAGTGTCTGACTGGGGAGTTCTATTACCAGTGGACACAAGGGAGACATAAGACTTTTCTACAAATTCAGAGAGGCAGAAGAGGAACTGAATCCTTGCTGGATTTGGCAAGGTCAATGTAGAAGGATCATTCGAAGGCAGAGGGACTGGACTTGGGGAGAAGTGTGAGGAGGCCTTAGGAGCAGGTAATAGAGTAGAAAAAGAACATGACGAATGGTATTTGTGGGAACAGGCCTCTGAGGAGTGAGGACACCTGGACAGGCCTACAGAGTCATAGTCGACCCACCTTTCGGCAGGTAGGTGCAGATTCAGCTACTTAGAACACTAAGTGCTAGGGGTTTCCATGTGGCTCAGGGCTGTGACAGATGCTCTTCCTCCTAAGTCTTTCAGCTTCTCTTTCCACATAACTTGCACATGTGATCTGAAATCACCACCATGGCACCCATTCTGGCGTCAACAAGCAACATAAATTTATAGCTCTGGTTCTCAAAAATCATATAAACATGGTTTGTATCTTACTTAAATTGGGATTTTAAAGGCTCTTGGGAATTTCCCAAGGCTCTTCAGGAAGAGCCTGAGCTGACTCAGCTTTGTTCAAGTGTCTACACCTGGTCCAAGAACACTACAGCTACACAGATTTGCCCATCAACAAGCTGTGAAGAGAACACGAGGTAAACTATTAATTCAGACAGGATCCTTAGACTGTGTTCCCCTAAAACAACTGGATTGTGCCAAAGATAAAAGTGGTTTATTAAAGGGTGTTAGTTCATTGTGTGAATGTGGGTTATCCAGGAAGCAGGATGGACTTAGAAATTCAAGCAGTTTATTGGGAGTAACACCTAAGAAACATGGGGAAGAGAAGAAGTATTCAAGTTACAGGTACAACACCCAAAACAGGAAAGTTGGAGAAGGAAATCAGGTAGGAAAAGCCCTAGGGGCAGTAGGTCCAAGGTTGGTGGGCCAGCCCGCAGGAACTCCTGTGACAAGCTGTCTCCTCCAGCACTGCCTGGTCTGTGGTGTGGCTAGGCCTGGCCACTGCTGTCCTGTGAGGCCTTGGTTGGACCTACTGAGGGAGAGAGTGTCTTCAGCACCCCACGGATTCTGCCTGCCCCTCTCCAGTGCCCGAGGGCACAGGTCCAGTGAACACAACACTGGATGCTGCCAAGAGCATCTTCAGCCAGGCACTTAACAAGGGGGAGGGACCTTAGTAAAAGAAAGTGAAGTTTAGAGGTTAACTTCCTTAACCATATGTTCCTCTATTCACTCTTACTAAGTAGAATCAAGAGAGGTCTTAGAAATGAAATTGAACTTTTTTGTCATTCCCATGTAGTCAGTTCATCAGTTTCTTGACTGACTTTTAGGTTGCCGAGAGAACAGTGGTCTGGCTGACCAGAACCAATATTTATCACACTTGCTTTAGTGTGGACTCTTGGAAAACTGTCTTGGTTCTTGTAACTTGGTGACTCAAAGAAAACCTGAGATCCCAACCAGATGCTTTGCCTGGATTCAAATACCACCTCTGTTAGTTTCTACAAGTGAGAGATTCATGTTACAGCCTCGGGAGAGGGCTGACAAGCTCTGACTGCAAGGATAATAGTGAGGCATGCAGCCATAGAGAATGACTTGTTTAAGGCTCTAAAAAGACAAATGCCAGATGATTTCACTTACAGTATATAAAGGAACCTAACTACAGCAACCAAAACAAACTCTAGAAATCTGACCGTAGAATTGAGGGTGCCCAAGGTGGAGGGTGGGGGGTGGTAAATAAGGGAGAAAGGGCCCCCATGGACAGTGGTGGAGGATGATGAGGACTGGGGAGTTGGCTTGGTGTGGTAATATCCATCTCAGGAGGCGTGGCCCTGACCTAAGTCACAGAGTGTTGTTAAATGTTACCGAAGCAAAAAATAACAATCTAAAAAACTAAAAACTCACAAATTCACAACAAAAGGTGGACCGACCCTATTTTGCTAAAGCCAACCAATCCTTCACTACGAACGAACCATGTAACATAGTAGAAAATTCACTGGATATATTTTTAGGAAACACCTACTCTGCTAGTAATGATCTGTGCTTATGGTTTTCATGTGTCCCGTATTTGTTGTGCATTTCAGTTTTTTTTTTAAAGGTCAGGAATTGAATAAGAGCTAAAGTCTTTGCAACAATAGAAGTGTATGATTCTCTTTAGCTTCCTTAAATATATAAGTGCTAGAGTTTCCGCTTAAACACAGAGTCCAAAGACCTATGGACTAAATGTCAGGATATATGTCAATTCTTTCACAGTAAAACTCTGAATGTCAAAAAAGATGTTTTGTTAGCACATGACCAAGGGGGTACCCAGGGTCCCTTTAAGAGGTGCATGCTCTAAAACAGGACACTACCTCTGCCTTATAGGAAAGGGAGCAGACTCAATGTGAAAGACATTTAATAGAATGAGTGTGTTCAGAGAGGAGAAGCAGACGGTCTATTACTGTTCTAGTTTTCCAGTAAAGCCTTCAAAATTTCCCAGGCCCAGGCCAACAATGGTCCAACATTAGACAGTTCTCATTGTGAAGACTAGAGATAAAACCCCAGTCTTAATTTACCAGCTCTGTGGGACTAAGATCCCCCAACATGGATACCGAAATGCCACCTCTCCTCCCCGACTGTGTTACAACTCTGTGCACAGTCCCTAGGGGAAGGAAGAAAACAGATCAGCAGGAAATACAAAGACTGCAAGAAAAACAGCCTTGACAGTTGCCAAAAATTGGCCTTCAATGTGCAATACAGGCTCCCTTGCTGGTGAATGAGAAAAGCAAAACAAATAGGCTCCATTTCCTGAACACGAGTTTGGTCCCGCACAACGGCAAGGTGCTTCTACCTTCACCAGGCTACCTAGACAAGGTTTGCATTCGGTTAGAGAAAACTGTGGGTCTGTGGACCCTGGAAGGCAGTTCTTAGCACAGAATACAAGGCCGAAGAAGCAAGAAGCACTCCTAACAGGTTGTATTTCACGGGAGTCCCTTGGAAGGGTCCTGAGCGTCTCCTGTGGGTCTGCTAATTCTAAGTGGCTTGTTCGGCCACCATTTTGGCTACCCGCAGCTCTGCAGTCCTATGCCAGGTCAGAGCTGCCTGGTCAGTCAGTCATAGGAGCCCAACCTACAAGATGCCCATCAAATCAATCCAGGGCAGAAAGCTTGGTCTCCCTGGGAAGGGGGCTCATCACGCGGTTTGACCGGGTATGCCCAGGGGGGCTGTTCACGTATGACAAGGGACCCAGAAGCTGGCCAGTGGATAAGACTGGAACCGTGGCCGGGGCCTGCAATATACTTTCAATGGCAACACTTGGTCACCAAGCAATTGAGACTTACCTGGTCAGCAGACTTATGTCCCTCTGAAGCCCTAAATGACATGAGCACATTTTGAGTCTCAGCCATCTTTTTCTCCTACCCTCGTACATGCAACTAAAGCTGTACGATCCTGTCAATAAAAA